ACTTGGCGAACATCGCCTTTCTCTAGCAATTAAAATAAAGCTTGTACAAATGAATGTTACTTATTCCGACAATGAATGAAATTTGTATTTGTAATTTACAATGACAACTGTAAGGGGAGGTGTGTGAACGGCAAGCTACACCAATTAATATTTATTACGCCTGAATTGTTAAAAAAGCATTTACAGGAAATATAGTATTTTGTGACACCTAATTTACCTTTTTAGCAATTATTATGTGGTCAGTCTTCTAAATTTAGAAACAATCACTTAAGCCTACCTGTGAATTATAAAGCCTGTCACATATGTTATACCTTAGCATACAAGCTTTTAAAAAAGACCGTTTTTAGGCAGTTAAGCTGCCTTATGCGAGCACCCTAGATTTGTGTTCTACCCAATAAATGCTGAAATACGTGCCAATGTTATTATCTAGCTGGCTATTATGTTATTTATAACTAATTGGACATTTTTTTAATACTTTTGTTTCTGGAATACAAAAAATATGACCAGAAAAACCTTAAATGATCGTCGAACTACCCAAAACTTTTGAAGTTGCACATAGGAAGTAGTGCTCAATAGAAATCCGTACGTAGTTTATTATCCCCTGTGCTTTAGGCTACGATGTCAAAGAACAATTGTATGAAATATTTCATTGCCAAAAATCGGTAATTACAAGTCGTTTATATTTCCCAAATGGCAAAATGCGCAGGAATATTGATCATGTACAACAAATCTCTATGATAGAGGAAATAAAGTTATATAAATGGGTGGTAATTTCTAACTTATCTTGCCAAATAAGGTTGTTGTTATTTATGAATGAAACGATGAATGAAACGAGGTCAGGAAAACAGATGCAGAAATCGACGTTGATGGGATGTTTTAAGTAATGTGGACAACTCGTCCCCGAGACAAGTCGGACCGAATCCACTCAAACCGTCTAAGAAGACAACTTTGACCGTTTGTCAGATTTACTTAGGGTTTCATAAAATATTAGACTAACATGTCTAGCGGAGCCATTTATCTTTTGTTTGTGCATTGGGGTCTATTTAGGGGTATTTGGAGGGGCCTGAAGAAGGGAGGGGTTTACTATAGAACCCTATGGGATTTTATTTTTTTTAATTTTCAAATGACTTTTTCTCGAAAACAGTAGGTGATAGACACATGCAGTCTTCAGTAATGAGAACAGGACAATACAAAAAATCAACCAAAATATAAGGTGAGTCCCTGGGGGTCATCCTTACCCCCTTCAATTTGAAAATGTACTTTTATCTTGTAAACCGTCGCGATCCCCACCCCTAAACAATATATATATACTTGAATGGGACAATAAAAGAAATCAATGAAAATAATTTGGGGGAGTCCCCAGTGTCGTCCCACCCCTCCTGTTTGAGAACTTGGAAATGGTCAAGATCCCCACCCCTAAATATATATATTCATGTATGGGACAATAAAACCAATCAAAAATGAAATATAGAGTGAGTCCCTGGGGTCACCCCACCCCCTCCTGTTTGAGAACTTGTAAACGGTCGAGATCCCCACCCCTAAACCATATATATTCATGTATAGGACAATATAACAAATCAAATGAAATATATTGGGAGTCCCTGGGGTCACCCCAACCCCTCCTGTTTGAGAACTTGGAAATGGTTGAGATCCCCACCCCTAAACCATATATATTCATGTATGGGACAATAAAACAAATCAAATGAAATATAGGGGGAGTACCTGGGGACAACCACGCCCCTCCTGTTTGAGAACTTGTAAACAGTCAAGATCCCCACCCCTAAACCATATATATTCAGGTATGGGACAATATCACAAATCAAATGAAATATATGGGGAGTTCCTCGGGTCACCACACCCCTCCTGTTTGAGAACTTGGAAATGGTCGACATCCCCACCCCTAAACCATATATATTCATGTATGGGACAATAACACAAATCAAATCAAATATAGGGGGAGTCCATGGGGACACCCCACCCCCTCTTGTTTGAGAACTTGTAAACAGTCAAGATCCCCACCCCTAAACCATATATATTCATGTTTGGGACAATATAACAAATCAAATGAAATATTTGGGGAGTCCCTGGGGTCACCCCACCCCCTCCTGTTTGAGAACTTTGAAATGGTCGAGATCCCCACCCCTAAACCATATGTATTCTTGTATGGGACAATATAACAAATCAAATGAAATATAGGGAGAGTCCCGGGGGTCACCCCACCCCCTCCTGTTTGAGAACTTGGAAATGGTCGAGATCTCCACCTCTAAACCATATGTATTCATGTATGGGACAATATAACAAATCAAATGAAATATAGGGTGAGTCCCTGGGGTCACCCACCCCCTCCTGTTTGAGAACTTGTAAACGGTCGAGATACCCACACCTAAACCATATTTATTCCTGTTCATCATTTCAAAAAGATTTGAATGACATACAGGGTCAATCTCCTTGGTGTCACATATGCATATCACTTTACTAGACCAAACCAATATGAACTGGACTTTGCCCAATGTCAGGAGACCATGGGAATGACGAATTATGGGGGCTTTGTTTGGGAGACTTCGACCGTAACGGCATCTTGTTACAATTATTTCTTGTTAATTATAAATTTTTTTTTATAAAAAAAATGAGTCTAGATTATTGAATTTACTTTAATTGTTTATTAAATTATTTCTGGGCCTATAATAATTTTCATTTATGGCTCATTTTAAAGAAAACATATAAATCTTTCAACCAGTGTAAAGCCCGAGAATAATTGACCAACTGTTTTATAATCACCTGTCATTTTATTCCAAACTTGGAGTAACATCATGCACTTGGGGGTGAAGATGTGAGTCATTTACATTGATATACGAGTTGCTTTTGAAAACCTTGATGAAATATTAATTAATTTGCCTTAATAATCAATTCATTTAATGAACATAAATGTACAATATACGAATGTTTAATGTTTGTTCTTTCAAATCTTAAAAAAAAATTGAAGCAACATTGCCACAGTTTTCATAATTACGTTTGCCTTGGTTTTTGGTTAACTGCCTACAGCGCTTACAGTGCTTTGATTTAACATGCATGTACTTTAATGTTTTAAGCCCTCAAACCTTACCCTATTCATGCTATTGGTCCATCGTACTTTAGCAATCAAACAACCATAGCACTTAAGCGTGAGACATCATCGTACTTTAGCGTAGACCATCGCATTTTAGCCTGACCATCGTACTTTAGAGTAACAATACTAACATTGCACTTTAGAGTCCTACATATATAACTAACATGACCAAACAATACAGTAATAGATACATACTAGAACATATAAATTGTACATCATTAGAGGAAAGAAGAAAAAATGCACGTCTAACCATACTATATAAGATCAGCAACCAAGAAGTAAACATTACAGCAAGTCATAAACTCATACCACCAGAAAGAATCTCCAGAAATATGGCTCAAAACTTTTTCCTGATTCCATCATGGAACACCACAATGAGGAAAGAATCATTCTACCCAAGAATCGTTAGGGATTGGAACGCCTTACCCTACTCAGTGACATCTGTCAGTAGTCTTGAATCCTTCATCTCCTGACTAAAATTTAAATCTATAGTCACTTGTTTTTAACCCCCACTGTTAAACATTGTTAAATATATGTATAGCACCTTTATTTTTGTTTTTGGTGTTTTCAAAATTATTCATATGCACACCCAAAAGTGACAGAATAGTCAACTGATGACGGTGGTCACTCAGCGGTAGAAGTAGAAATAGAAGTAGAATTCATACCTGCCAACTTTTCAAAATCTCCATGGGGGTTTTTATACGCAAGAGGACTAATGCTATTATATTGTCATTAATGTTTTTAATCTACTACTTTATTGATTGAATGAGTATGTTTGTGCTTAAATACCATTTTAACTCATTTGATTGCCTGTTTTGAGTTGTTCAATTGTTATAATAAAGGATTTCCAAATTCATCTGAACACCTCTCATGGGGGAAATCCCCCATAAATCATGGAAGTTGGCAGCTCTGCTAATTCTCAATACATGATCTTTCAGCAGGTGCTTTTTTCTGGAAAAAATTGAAGTCACAAAGCAAATATATATCTTCACTATGTCTAATGACGTAAATGTTTTCCCCAGAATGACTGAAGGTCAACTGGGGCAATTCATTCTTAAAATTGAATTTGAAATAGTAAACTAGTCTAGTGAATAGATGTGCCATCGTACCACATCTCTTTACCATGTTTACATGTACTTTAATATCAGCTCTATGTCCTCTTTGGTTTGATACAAAATGCAATATTGTGCTTTAAATAGACTTGTCAGAAACAAATATTCAGATGGATTGCCAATTAAAAAATGATGATATTGATACTAGGTAATGAAAGAAAAGACATGTGATCAAAGGAGCAAAAGTTATTGAAATAAGTTTTCTCTCTTGCTTTATGATTCATACAATCACAGTTCCATGCTGACTTAGGTTTACCTTATTATCAAAGTTGCTAGTAATTTTCATATTAACCCACCGAAGCTTGTTATTAAAACAATTAATCAAGGAAATCAAACTCATATCAATATATTCAGTAAGGGGCAGAACCATAAAAGCTGTGTTTAATACATGGTACATTGTCATCACACCCTTTTTCACCATGGGAAATCAAGGGAAAATTTCTGTCACTTGTTTAAAATTTCTAGTGAAATTGCAGTAATTTCAAATTGTGTGTGATCGTTTGTTGTATTTTCTTGGAAAACTCTGTGTTCCATCTTCAAGTGGACTTTGAAAATGTTTGTAAGTGATTCTAGGACAATATAAAAATAAAGCAATTGAAAAAAATTGTGTTCATCATTAAACGGAACAGACTGACAATGGGACCAGCACAAAAGATAAAAATGGCTGACCTGGTGAAATTTTGGCGGGCAGGACAGACAGATTTCTTTTGTTTTGTTTGGTTGCTGTCATATTGAAAAATAAACACTTATCCTTGTATTCATAATGTTTTAATGAATTTCAGGAGTTGTCACCTCTTGAGAAAGCCCAAGCAGATAAAAATAAAGGAAACAAATATTTCAAAGGAGGACGTTATGACCAGGCTATTCATTGTTACACAGAAGCTATTAAAGTTTGCCCACCAGAGGAAAAACAAGATTTAGCAACATTTTACCACAATAGAGCTGCTGCATATGAAAAGCTTGTAAGTAGATTGTAAAGGACACACTTAACATGCTCAATCAGCTTATATTTAGTGGGTTGAGATGTTCTGTCAGAAATTATGGAATTGAACCATGACCATACTGACAGAGTTTTGCCTTTTTGAAATTGTTGTCTATTCTGATAGCATTGATTCCTTATATCATGTATATATTTTAGTTGTCCTCCCAGTTTTTTTTTTGAAATAGCACCTTTGGACAATGTTGGATTTAAAATGGGACAGTTTCCCTAAAATTATAGCACCACATTTATAATATATTGTATTTTAAAATCTTCAAATAGCACCATGGTTTAAAAAATATAGAATTTTCAAGATCCTGGGGAGAACATTGGATTTACATAATTATATCCCTGCTTATGTAATGAGTGATCGTTGTGTATGTTTATTTGTTCATCAGTGTTTGCTTTGTATTAACTTTCCTAAACTAAGCTTTTATAGATTCATGGGTACCTCATACATGTCATAGTTTGTGGACTTGCTGCTTTATTTTCAGATACAAATAATTTTTAGAGTTTCCGGAGAAAACATAGTTTGTCATCATCATGATCATAGTCGATTTAAATTGGGTAGCATAATTATTCAAGTATGAGCAGTACTCATACTATTTTCTTAGCACACAGACAGACAGACTGATTCTTGTGAACTCTTCCTAACCTTGTTGATGTTGATGTTAAACTTTATTGAAAAAGTACTCTTTGCAGAAAGTACAGTTTCTAGATTGAAATAGGAAATCATGATAACACTTCAATAATGGAAAAATTACTTCAGATGAATTTAATGAAATGGAAATTTTTGTCTGTAAAGTTGGCTTGCTAATAATTATACACTTATTGTGTTGTAGATGAATCTAAAGATGGTTGTTGACGATTGTACAGAGGCTTTGAAAAACAATAGCAAATATACAAAATGTCTGATGAGGAGGGCTAATGCTGCTGAACAGCTGGGAGATTTAACACAGGCTTTAGAAGGTAAATGTATCAGACTTTATGTTGTGGTCCAAAAAGACCTATTTCTTTCTAAAATATTTCACTTGAAAGAATATAAAGATGCGGAAATTTCATGAACAGTCAGGGGTACTACTTAAACAAGTGATTTCAGAATCACTTCCTCGAGTGATTTTGGCTGTGAAATATTAAAAATTTTCACACAGACTTTTTTAAATCACTGAAACAAGTAATTTTAGAAGTTAAAATGTAATCACTTTAATAAGTGTTTATAACATTTTCTTGATATTTTTCCCACAAGCTTGATTTTTTTATTGGTAAAAAGACAACAATTCCATTGAAAAAACAACTATGTACATGCAGAAACTGTCTTTTGCTTGATAAGCCTGACACTTTTACAGTTTTTTTAAAATATGCAAAAACTGGAATAGTTTGTAGATCAGGTCATAACCTTGAAGTAGATCATTCTAACTCTAAAGAAAACCAATCAGGTTACCTAATATTGTTGATCTTTGTCTGATAGTAAGAATAGTTAATGAATTTTTGATTACAGAAAAATTCCCAAGGGTACTTTTAAAAGCTTTAGCGCACTAACTTACTGCCCAAGCGCACTGGTGAAATTAATATACAAAGAAAAAAGGATAATTGATTTATGTAGGAAAATTATAGAAAAGATTGTGAAAATATGGAAAATCAATGAAATTAGCATTTGAAGATCAAAGAAAACACTAAAATCACTTAAATAGGTGATAACTGAATTTATCAAATCACTGAAATAAGTGATGATGAAATCACTTGTTTAAGTAGCACCCCTGACTGATGAAAGGGGTGAAAAAAATTGCTTGAAATTAATATCCCAAATATTGAGTTTCTATCCAAATATCAATCGGCAGTAATTGAAAATTATATGAATCTAACAGAGGATTGCTTGGATTTGAATTAGCACTTAATTATTCATAAAAGCAGCCATATTGTCAAAATGTAAACAGGAAGTTGAAGGGAGACAATTTTGACTGTAACCAGTAATGTTAAATCTTATGACATATTCCTGGTGGCAATAATTCGAATATATTATAAAAGTTTCTACACATAATCTTTGCAAGTTGTAACAGGTTTCAATTGGCAAATAACATTCTTAATTGATAGTCAACCTTAAAAATAAAATAGAATTGTATTTCTGTTAAAAAAAATAGGGTTCAGATGAAACATTGAATAAATGTTATGATACACAACTAAATAGAGATGCATACTGTGCTATATACTTACTATGCTTACTCATATAAAAAAGGGAAGGCGTAATTAAATTAAATATTAACAAATGTATTTCATTTTTGCATTTTAATTTTCAATCAAAAATGTTACATCACGTCACAATGCAAAAGGTAAACAGTCTAATATCATGCACTTACCACAGCACTTTTAAAAATTGTTGGGACAACAATTGACATTTTGTCCTGTTCACTACTGGATCATACATGTATGGTTTCAGATGTAACAGCTTGATGTAAATATTTGATTTGAAGTTATTCAAATTTCAAATCATTGCAAGCATTGTAGTATAATAAATTCTGGTGTAACAGCTCTGTGATCATTAGAAGCAATGGGAATAATTATTGTTTTTGTATTGTATGTTATAGATGTGACAGCTTTGTGTATATTAGAGGGATTTCAGAATCCAAAATCACTGATGACAGCTGATCGAGTTTTGAAACAATTAGGACAATCAAAAGCCAAAGAAACTTATGCTGTAAGTATGTCATGTATATCTAAATGGACTTCTGACATATTGATATATTTACAGCCACACCAATTTAATTTATGATGTTTAAGTTTCAGAGTTGACTTAATTTAAGAGATGGTTTTAATTTTGAATTTTTTATCCACAGCTGTGAAAAAATTTGATCTTTTTTCGTTACAATTAGAGACATGGTCCCATTTATAAAGTTTATATGAAAATAGCAAAATCTTAAAACAGCAAACAAAATCTTTGTTATAAATTAATTTTAGCCATAGCAGACATGGCAGAGCTGAATACAATCAAGCCACATTTAATTACCCAAAAATAAAAACTGAGTAAGAAAAGGTACAATGTTATAATTAGAGAAGACAACATACAAATGTAGTAAAATAGTGAACATAAAAATAAGAAGATGTGGTATGATTGCCAACGAGACAACTCTCCACAAGAGACCAGTTGACACAGGAATTAACAAAAAAAATAAGAAGATGTGGTATGATTGCCAACGAGACAACTCTCCACAAGAGACCAGTTGACACAGGAATTAACAACTGTAGGCCACCGTACGGCCTTCAACAATGAGCAAAGCCCATACCGCATAGTCAGCTATAAAAGGCCCCGAAATGACAAATGTAAAACAATTCAAACGAGAAAACTAACAGCCTAATTTATGTACAAAATAATGAACGAAAAACAAATATGTTACACAGCAACAAACGACAACTACTGAATTACAGGCTCACAAATAGCTTGTTAAACCTGGTCATATTTCTATAACATATAAATAATAAAATCATTATGCATGAATAAACTGTAAATATTTACTGATTTCTTTTGACAGAATAGAAAACCAACAATGCCATCAAAACATTTTATTAGAACATATTTAAAGGCGTTTACCCAGGATCCAGTAATCAATGAAGCTGGTACCTTGGACCAGTCATCTGTACAGAATGGTGAGACAGACATTCCAGACACAGACAGGTATAGAAAACATGATTATTTGTAATGACTATTCCATTTAATTACAGGGGACATGATGGCCATTTGGTTGGGAGCCTCCCAAAATAGAAGGGTGCCTGCCCTTAGTACCCTTATTTTACCCTCCAAAGCAAAAATATGTACCATTCTGCCTTTGCAGTGTTTTTGGTAAAATTGTAACCTTATTCTATACAAAAGAACTAATATCTGTAATTAGTTATATGTAGTAGTTTGATACATATTATAAGCCCTTCATCTCATAGACTTTCCACATATTTTTCAGTTATCATCAGATTGTTAAGTTATAGATATATTAAAGGAGATGTGGTATGATTGCCAATGAGACAACTAGTTCAAATGAAGTGGATGTAAGCAATTATAGGCAACTGTACAGCCTTCAACAATTAGAAAAACCCATACCTGATTCAGTTGGCTTAAAAAGCCCTGTGTGAAAAATATGAAACAATTCAATTGAGAAAACTAACATCCTAATTATAACAAAATATTTATTATTGTTAACTTATTGTTAACTAAAATCAATTTACAATGGTTAACTTTACCAGGAACTTTGTGAAAAAAAGCAGTGATAGAATGTCTAATTTTTACCTAACAGCCATGATAGAATATCTAACTTTTTACCTTACAGCCCCTATTTTGAAGCTCTCAGACAGATGAATGCAGAGCAATATGAAGAAATCATTCCAAATTGTACCAAGGAGATAGATAATGATCAGTCTTGTAAATGTATGGAAGCTAGACTTCTGAGGGCAACATTTTACTTCCTTGGTGGAGAAACAGAGAATTCTTTGGCTGATCTCAAACTATTGACAGAGGACGATGTCAATAAAAAGGTAGTCATCCTTCTTATTGTGTGCAGAGTTTCTATGTTTGCTTATAAAATTCTCCTTGATATATATGTCAGAGTATCTATAGGATATTGACTAGAGGTCAATGAGAACAACCAAATGACACAAAAACAAAAGATGTCTGCCAAAAGAACTATGTTTGACCCCGCATGACAGTTTGATTTAACAATATTTACAAGAGTTGGGACTTTGACATTTTTTCTGATTCAGCCATGCTGGATCTATGCTATCACTCTGGTTTTGGAGATGGTGCGGAATACTAAGTTGATGACATATCATGAAACTAATTATGTTTTTTCATGATTTGCTGAAACTTTCTACACCATTTCAATCATCAACTGCAAACTTTTGACATGTTATTTGCCCTTAAATTAAGAAAAGGTTGGTCGAATAGTGACTTTATTTTAGATATACACTTGCATATAGTTCCTTTCTAAATCAAAATTTATGATGATTTACTATTTATGAATTAATTTGAAAAAGTATTTGTACATCAATTGAATCAGTTGATAAGAATTTTGAAAGTATTATATTAGTATCTTTTGCTTGTGTAAATTATTGTTCAATGAAATGTAGGTCAACATGTGTATTAATATATCTAAGTTGATTCCCACACTTTTTAGCTCACCTGGCCCAAAGGGCCAAGTGAGCTTTTCTCATCACTTGGCGTCCGTCATTGTCGTCCGTCGTCGTTAACTTTTACAAAAATCTTCTCCTCTGAAACTACTTGGCCAAATTAAACCAAACTTGGCCACAATCATCATTGGGGTATCTAGTTTAAAAAATGTGTCCGGTGACCCGGCCAACCAACCAAGATGGCCACCATGGCTAAAAATAGAACATAGGGGTAAAATGTAGATTTTGGCTTATATCTCTGAAACCAAAGCATTTAGACCAAATCTGACATGGGGGGTAAAATTGTTTATCAGGTCAAGATCTATCTGCCCTGAAATTTTCAGATGAATCTGACAACCCGTTGTTGGGTTGCTGCCCCTGAATTGGTAATTTTAAGGAAATTTTGCCGTTTTTGGTTATTATCTTGAATATTATTATAGATAGAAATAAACTGTAAACAGCAATAATGTTCAGCAAAGTAAGATCTACAATTAAGTCAACTTGACCAAAATGGTCAGTTGACCCCTTAAGGAGTTATTGCCCTTTATAGTCAATTTTTAACCATTTTTCATAAATTTTTGTAATCTTTTGCAAAAATCTTCTCCTCTGAAACTACTAAGACAAATTTAACCAAACTTGGCCACAATCATCATTAGGGTATCTAGTTTAAAAAATGTGTCCGATGACCCTGCCCGCGAACCAAGATGGCCGACATGGCTAAAAAATAGTACATAGGGTAAAATGCAGTTTTTGGCTCATATCTCTGAAACCAAAGCATTTAGAGCAAACCTGTCGAGGATAAAATTGTTCATTAGGTCAAGATCTATCTGCCCTGAAATTTTCAGACCAATCAGGCAACATGTTGTTGGGTTGCTGCCCCTGAATTGGTAATTTTAAGAAAATTTTGCAGCTTTTGGTTATTATCTTGAATATTATTATAGATAGAGATAAACTGTAAACAGCAATAATGTACAGCAAAGTAAGATCTACAAATAAGTCAACATGACCAAAATTGTCAATTGACCCCTTAAGGAGTTATTGCCCTTTATAGTCAATTTTTTACAATTTTCATAAATTTTGTAAATTTTGTAAATTTTTACAAAATATTTTCCACTGTAACTACTAGGCCAAGTTCATTATAGATAGAGATAATTGTAAGCAGCAAGAATGTTCAGTAAAGTAAGATCTACAAACACATCCCCATCACCAAAACATAATTTTGTCATGAATCCATCTGTGTCCTTTGTTTAATATGCACATATACCAAGGTGAGCGACACAGGCTCTTTAGAGCCTCTAGTTTGAAATGGTATTAGTCCAATTCTTTCCATAGGCAAGTAAGAGTCAGAATGATTATTTACTGTCATGATTTTCAAATAAGTATTAATTAGAAACAACCCCAGGCTTAAATCAAAACAGTTAATATCTCATGACCTGTTACATAATTAAATAGACACAATTTATTACACACCTAACTGAATACACACATTCTTGACCTCAATAGTAAACCTACAAATGTACTAATTATTTACTACATTAAAATATTCTGTTAATTTTGCTAGCTAGCTGAATGATTAATCTGATGTGTTTTTTTTCAAAGAAAATACTTAAAATGAAAAAAAATATGTATAAAAAATGCAAGCAAATTTTATTTTACTTGTAAAATCAGTGCCATTATCATCTGACATAAGTCAATAATCAAGTTCTAATTAATTAGTTACAATTGTCAGAAATTTGGTTGAAATATTTTTAAAACAAAATTGCATAACTCTTACCTGAGCATTTTCTGCAATAAAATTTATTTGTTTGTTTTACATTTACATGATTTATATCCCATTATATTGCTATTTAACAGTAATTGGAAATATCTCAGCATTAGGTATTTGTACATTCAGATTTGAATACAGGAAATGTATTTTTTATTATTGAAGAATGAACACCAATTTAGATAAAAAACAGTTATTATCTTTTTAATTTTTGTTGTTGAGAAAGTGCATTTATAAGGCCTCTTTCTGGAAATTATTAAACCTGTCATTATTAATGGCATATAAAAAATATATTACTTGTTTGACAATTTTCCTTTCCGTTCTTGTCAAAAATAAAATCAGACAGAGTCTAAAATTGAAAGATCAGTATATATATCTATATTTGCATCAATATTGCGAAATACCCTACCTTTGGACAATAACATAGAAATTTTACAGTAAGATTGGAAATGAAAAGAGAAAAAAATTAGAAAAAAGTATGGTCAGAAAGATTATCAGACTAGCTATGAATATGGCTGGATCACAACATCAACGATGCTTTGATTTAATATTGTAACAATAACACCTTGTGAACACAACTCCTCTGATATATAAAGTTTTGCATTTAAAAGGTAGAAGACCTGGATACTTCATATCTTGCATACAGATCATCTGATGCCTTACAATGCCTTATGTTCTGAAATTTCTGCTTGACTTTATTTTCATGGATTAGTGATTGCTTGAAAAAACTCTTTTTCTCACTTATCATGCTTATTATGAGTAATAGAACAACTATATTCGGTATAGAATCATTGAAAGGCGTACATGTGCATCTGACTTTCAACTCATTTTCATGATTCATTGGTCAGTGTTTAGTTTTTGTGTTTATGTCAGTTTCTCAGATACTAAAAGCAATAGCTCAGCCATTTTTGATGTATGAAATGATTGTAAGGTGTACATGTCCATACGGCAGGGTTCATCTGACTTTGACCTCAATTTCATGGATCATTGATAATGTTATGTTTATGTGATACCTGTTATATGCTGAACATTGTAAAGTCTTTCAACATAAATTCAATCATGATCTGTAAAGCAGGTGAGACATCTCAGTGTTTTAAAATCATTGTTTTACACTTGACACAGATAAAATAGGGTTACTCGCTTTTTGTTGGATGCCTTATACATAAAATCATCCTTGTGACTTTAATCGGACCAAGAAGTAATTTGACAGGTTAGGAATTCATAGCAAGTTACCATCAGACGCTAATAAATGTCCTGTAGACAATTGGAACTTGGTCTTCTTATCACAAAAAGAATTGTAGTTGCTGTTCAGATTTAGCTATTGACAGTTTTGTCCAATAGTTGGACACCACAAATAACATGCCTAAAACATTTGTATAATTTATTTCAGATTAGAGTAAATGCTTTAATAAAGAAAGGCAGTATATTAATACAACAAGGAAAACAAACAGATGGATTGGACTGTTTTGCTAAAGCTGTCAGGTTAGATCCTGATAATGCTGATATATATCATCATAGAGGTCATGTAAGTAACTATGACAACGGAAGGTCAGATTGAACTTTATTGCAGCTAGTTCCTAGTAACCTAGTGAACATTGTCATAAGGTTAGTGTAAGAAAGATTAAAGGCAGGTCAATAATTAAAAGTGTTTGTGTGAGGGAAAACTTATACCATAAATCATCAACTATTTAAATGTTCAACTTCATTTTAATTTAAAAACATTTGTTCAGATAATACTGTTGCCCACTAATAATTTACCTCTTGGTCCCCTCAATCTTGACCATTCAACCACTAAGTGACATGGCAGTATAAAGGGTACACAAATGTATTTCAATTCAAGCTAAAAAGTTCAATGTGGTATAATCATTAATAACTATACATTTGCATGTATATACATATTTAAGTCAATTTCATGAGGTATAGACATACACTCTTCTGGCAGATCTTGTTGTTTATAAAAACTTTGTTGTAAGGATTACTTAATCACTGAAAGTGCATTCATACCAAAGAATGTTTCCAGCTTTCATTTGATTTAGCAAACATCTGATTTTCAGACCAAATTTTAAACATTGTCACATTTACTTCCATGCACAGAGACTCAGTTTTAAGTGCCTTTTGTATAGTTCTCAAAATGGACATGATCAATACAAAAAAGGAAGACACAAAATTCCAAAGGAATATTTGCAATATAATTGACACTATGCATTTTTGGCATTGACATGATTGAGAGCACATGCAGTCTTGAAAGTTGCATTTTATTGGAAAATATAATATTGGAACACTGCACAATGGTTATCTGCCAATCAAAGCTACATATCCTTATTAGACATTAATGTAATGTAATTATTAAAAATTAATATTATTTTTTTTCTATTTACAGCACAACATACAGTTAGATAGAGTAGATGATGCTATCAGAGATTTAGAATTTGCTGTATCTAAATGTCCTGCTTTTGCAGCATCACATGTGCAAAAATCATTTGCTGGTAAGCTTTATTTGTTGTCTGTAGCATATATGAGTGGTCACATATTAAGTCAGGTCATAAAAATATATATGTGTTTTATAACAGGCTTTTCTCATCACTTGGCGTCTGTCATCGTCATTGTCGTTAACTTTTACAAAAATCTTTTCCTCTGAAACTACTGGGCAAATTAAAGTCAAACTTGGCCACAATCATCATTGGGGTATTTAGTTAAAAAATGTGTCCGATGACCTTGCCTGCCAACTAAGATGGCCGACATGGCTAAAAATAGAACATAGGGGCAAAATGAAGTTTTGTCTATTATTTTGAAAACCGTTATAAATAAATAGAGAAAATCAGACAGTAGCAGAAATGTTCAGAATGAAGAGCTCTACCAATTGTCTATTTACGCCAAAACTGTCAGACGACTTCTAATAGGAGTTATTTCCCTTAAATGACAAATTTTACCTTTTTTTAAAATTTTTATCTATTATCTTGAAAACTATTATAGATAGAGAGAAATTTTAAATTGCAAAAATAATCTAAAGACATGTTCCACAAATAAGTCTCATGGTATAAATCGTCAGCTGACTCCTTGTTAGAGTTAATGCCCTTTGATGACGTTTTTTATTACCAATTGTTTGCGTTTTTGCCTTATATCTTAAAAATTATAATAGATAGATAGAAACTTAAATAAGCAAAAATGATCAGAAAGACAAGATCTACAATTAAGACTTATGGAGGAAATCGTCTGACAATTCCTTATTGTAGTTATTGCCCTTTAATGACAATTTTTACCATTTTTTTAGCGTTTTGCCTTATATGATTTAAATTATAATAGATAAATATACACTTTAATTTAAATCACAAAAATGATCAGCAAGGCAAGATCTACTAACAAGTCAAATTTTGCTGATATAGTTAGAAGACTGTCACTCTTTATAGGAGTGATTGCCCTTAAATGAGGATTTTTTTACCCTCTTTTGTGTTTTGAGCAAAAACTAAAGAATATAGAGAGAAACTAAACAAATTAAATGATCAGCAATACAAGAACAACAAAACAGATTTTTGTCATGAATTCTATTCTCATCTACAATGTTGGAGAGTGTCCTTAGTTGAATATGCACATAGACCACAGAGAGCGACACAGGCTCTTTAGAGCCTCTAGTTTTTTTTGCCTTCTAAATGACCAACATATTGATCTTCGACCCTTACATGCCTTACATGCCTTAATTGCCTAGTATTCAAAATAAATGATTCTAGAAAGAGTGCTTTGTGTATTTTGGGTAAACTACAAATCCTATTTCTGCTGGGTTATTCAGTCACATCTGTAATAAGAAATATTATAATCAAGTGAAAAAATTACAAGTGTACCATTGTGTATGCATGAATGACCAACAATAAAAAAGGCAAAAACAATTTTGATGAGAAAGAAAAAATAGTCTTAAAAGAAATAATACACTGCCACTTTTATTGATCACTATCGAAGCAAAAATAAATATAGGTATGATCAATACAAATATAATTTTGGAATTTAAGAATAAATGCTAAGTTAAAAAAAGGCATTTGCATTCTTACAATGAGTATGTTGCTAAATAAAAGATGTTACTTGGGATTCTTTTTCATATAAGATCTATGGAAGATATACAGTTTCCTTGAGCAGCACTAAAAGTTGAATTCATAGGTAGTTCAGGATAGACCAAGTTTCAATGTGTCTTTATGGGATTGTCATTGCTAAAATACATAATGATTTTATTATAAATAAAGTTATTTATAGAAAATTGACAATAAAGTAATATAAAAGAAATATTTTATTCAATGTCTTTGGAGATTTCATATAAATGTAGATGGGAAGAAATTATAACAATAAAAAAAATATGAGAATGTTTTGTTAGAAGTGTACGGTATTTAAGATGCATGTTTTTAAGATATAATGAGAAAAATAGTGTTTTCAGGTCAAAAGTTGTAATGCATTGACCAGCGAACATCTTTAAATTGAAAAATTTTGAAAAACCATTTTAAAAACAAAGATAAAATCAAAAGGCAAAGGAAAAAGAATGTAATTAGATTTATACAATTATGTATTAAAATTTATCTTTTTAATTGTAGAGCACAGAAAGTCAGCTGAAATAATAGCTAACTCAGGTGCCAAAATTCCTTTACCTCAAACTGTGATAGAATCTTATAAAAATAATGTTACCATGTTCCCTGATAATGGTGATGCTAGAGCATTGTATGCACAGGTAATATAATAGGGATACAGTTGTGAATATGTAATTAGGAACATTTAATTTGCTTTCATTATATTTGCATGCTTTTTTATTTTTATTTATTAGAATTTGCATGAAGCAGCAATATGGTGCTAAGTCTAAAAGTTAAAATTTGTAAATTTTGTCACAAACGAATTCTGTGTGAATGTGTGAAATCCTGTATTTAATAGATATTACAAAATAATACGGCTTTAAAAGTAAGATAGTGCTGTAACTAAGTAAAATAATTAATTAATTTATTCAACACTTTAATTTTTTAAGAACTTTTATCTAAAAGAAAATGCAGGCAGCTGTCTGAAACATGAAACTGACAGAAAAAAACAATTATGTATAAAACTGTAAACATTAATATATATTATATATCCTAGAATAAAGCTTTTTTTCAAATAATTTTTTTTAGTATTTTGAATATACTTTAGGCCTTGACAGATGCAGGAAAATTTGATGAGGCTGACAGAGAGTTTGAAAAAGCAATCAAATTAGAACCAGATAATGCCACAGCAATGGTACACAGAGGGTATGTAAATGTTATAATAGTAAAAATCTAAAGAATTCATGGCTAGAGGGATAGGTGATAAATGATTTTTTAATCATATCCATTTCCATACATAGTAATTGACAGAAACAGATTACAGTAGTCTTACAGAGATAATATATAATAGTTTCTCTAATTTTTGTGCTATTTTCACATTTCTTGATCAGTGTGAGAAAAATATTTCTCCTCACGTGTGAAATATCTGTTCTCAGCAAATGATTGGTCGAAATTTAATTATGAAGTTAAATTTTCTTGGTTTCTTCTGAATTTCCTATTGTGACATCATGAAAAAAGGCCACCATGTCTGATGACGTCACATATAAAGAACACAACTTTCTGCAAATCTTTGAAAAAGGAATGATAAAAATCATTAGAGAAACAGATTCCACCACTATAACTCATGTATTACAATATTTCTCCACTCTCAACAGTTAAATTTTAATTATTTAAAAAGCTCGGCAAGCCTCACGCTTTAAATATTAAAATTTAACTGTCTCGAGTGGAGAAATATTGTAACACACTTGTTGCAGTGGTGAAATCTATATTTCTCCTGCTCATGATGACTATATGAAGATATGGATGATTTGGATAAATTTTCTTATATTCTATTACAGTGACTAATATACAGTATGAGATATATGCTAAGACTTTTAAAAACTGATGTTTAAGAGTCCTTCATGCTTGCAATACCTGGGGCAAAATAAAAAGTACTTCTGACCCCAATAAACATTTTTTTCTGGAACAGCCCTCAAGTAAAATTAGATAGTAGTTGATAAATGGAATTTATCCAAATTATAATGCTTCTATCCTAATGACGCTAGTAATAGATAAAACTTTGAAAGACTAGGTACAGTGACTGGAAGTGGTCAAAACTAGATGTTAGATTAGTATCTTGACTACCAATTTCCACTGTATTTGATGTTCTTGAGTGTTTTTTCAAACTATATAGAATCAAATATGACAAATTAACTTTATTTCAAGTCCTGTTTAAATGAATTTGTTTTCATAGAACAAAAATAAACTGAATAATTGACAAGAAGGAGAAATGCTAGCTGATATTAAAATACATTTATCTCCTATAACCTGCATGATGCATCGAAAGTGCTCATAAAAAATAACAAGAAAAAAAAGTCATGTTTTATAATTGACTTGGATATATTCTGAAATATATGTTTCAACAAATATTGTCTGCATTATATAGGTTGTTACAGTTACAATGGAAACAAGATGTTGAGGAAGCTATAAAAATAATAAACCAAGCTATTGATGTGGATAATAAATGTGAATATGCATATGAAGTACTGGGAACACTGGAAGTTCAAAGGTAAGGGCTATTGTCCTGGATATGTATATGGAGTACTGAGAACACTGGAAGTTCAAAGGTAAGGGCTATTGTCACTGAATAGGAATATGAAGTACTGGGAAAACTGGAAGTTCAAAGGTAAGGGCTATTGTCACTGGATAGGTATATGAAGTACTGGGAACACTGGAAGTTCAAAGGTAAGGGCTATTGTCACTGGATAGGTATATGGTGTACTGGGAACACTGGAAGTTCAAAAGTAAGGGCTAATGTCACTGAATAGGTTTATGGAGTACTGGGAACACTGGAAGTTCAAAGGTAAGGGCTATTGTCACTGAATAGGTATATGAAGTACTGGGAACACTGGAAGTTCAAAGGTAAGGGCTATTGTCTCTGAATATGCATATGAAGTACTGGGAACACTGGAAGTTCAAAGGTAAGGGCTATTGTCTCTGAATATGCATATGAAGTACTGGGAACACTGGAAGTTCAAAGGTAAGGGCTATTGTCAATGAATATGCATATGAAGTACTGGGAACACTGGAAGTTCAAAGGTAAAGGCTATTGTCTCTGAATATGCATATGAAGTACTGGGAACACTGGAAGTTCAAAGGTAAAGGCTATTGTCTCTGAATATGCATATGAAGTACTGGGAACACTGGAAGTTCAAAGGTAAGGGCTATTGTCACTGAATATGCATATGAAGTACTGGGATCACTGGAAGTTCAAAGGTAAGGGCTATTGTCACTGAATAGTCGTATGAAGTACTGGGAACACTGGAAGTTCAAAGGTAAGGGCTATTGTCACTGAATAGGTATATGAAGTACTGGGAACACTGGAAGTTCAAAGGTAAGGTCTATTGTCACTGAATATGCATATGAAGTACTGGGAACACTGGAAGTTCAAAGGTAAGGGCTATTGTCAATGAATATGCATATGAAGTACTGGGAACACTGGAAGTTCTAGGGTAATGGCTATTGTCACTGAATAGGTATACATGTATATGAAGTCCTGTGAACTTAGCAGTTTTAAAATTGTCACTTAATATGTATATTGATAGAAAGAACAGTGATGCTAATATGAAGCTCTTCAAACTCAAGTCAATACCCGTTATAAAATGTGAATATAATGTATGTTAGCTGATCGGCAATGTCATCATTAGTTTAGGCTGTTTCAATTAACTTCCACATCTTAGGAATAAAAATTGAAATGAAAGTAAAAAGAAACAAATTTGGTAAAAGCCTAATTTCTTAAATAAAGTCAAAATAAATTTTTTCAGTAAGAAAGTAAGTTCACATACTATTAAAAACAATATTGGTCTAATATATGACATCATTGAACAAACAACTCGGGCTTATTGTGAAATCAGTAAATAAGCATTGTAGCATCTTTGGAAAAGTACGGGAAAATGCAGGATTATGAAATTTGTCTTTTAAAAGTGCTGATTGGAAATGCGATAACTAGAAATAACAAAGGTCAGTTCATTCTTTTCGACAGAAACTCTCACAATTATTACATTTTCATAATCTGTGAACTTCATCCTAAACGCCTGTAATTGTGAATTGTGTAAGCATGATACTTTTACATCAATATCAATAGTGTATTCAATTACTGTACATTTGCCCTGACTCAGAGGGCTTCAATCCAAAAGAATTGTAAGTTGTTTAGATTTATACAGTGAACTAAAATTATATAATTTAAACATATCTTATTGTTCAGAAACTAAACAAATGGATGAGACACAAGTTTTACAACTTAATAATGTCTTCTCCAGAGACATTATTAAGTTGTAAAACTTGTGTCTAAAATTATATGGTATTATAAATTTGTTATCTACTTTATTTTAGATCAAACATGCAGAAAGCTATGGACTTGTTCCAGAAAGCAATACATTTATCCAGAACAGAATCAGAGATGGCACATCTATATTCATTACTAGATGCTGCACATGCTCAGTTGAAGGTTGCAAAAAATTTAGGAATCACATTACCTGGCCCAATGGGTATGGGAATGCCATAAATGAAAAAGGAACCAGAGTTTGTGTAAATTGTGAATCAGACATTTAGATATTTTAGATCTACAGATAAACAGAAGGAAATTTCTTTATGAACTAAAAGTTATTTTGTGTTTTGTTATTAACAGTTTGAAAATAACTGCAAGATTGAAATGTTAAAAAAAAAATTGTAAGACAATACTGTAAAATGGGATATTTCGCAAAGGGTTTATTTTGGCTAGTTTTGGGGTTAATGAAGAGAAAATCATGAAAATATCCCCACATATAATTTGATCTTAAAAGATGATCAATATCAAGAAAAATGTGAAAGTAAGACCTTGCAAACAGATTTGGCTTTTGAAATTACCAAATTTAAGCTTTGTGAAAAAACCCACTTTACACCACTAGTTCCATTACTAAAAACAGAAACCTGTCAGAATTGAATTGTGAGGAACTTTACATGTGTAAAACAGTGTTCTCCTTAGAAATTTCTTATATCATCCTTGTAAACAGGAAATTATGAAATACCATCTTTTCTAGAAACTATAGCATCACATCCATAACACAATCTCTAAGAAACTAATTTTAGATAGCATCACGTTCTAGAAATATAGCATCACATTACCATGATGCTAAAAGGCTCTGGGGAGAACACTGGTAAAAATTTACAATTAGTAGTAAACCTTTATCATTGCTGTCTTAGTTTTATTTGATCTTTATATGATATACAGCTCACAAGGTTCCAAATCATTTGATCTGTGTGCAACATACAGTGCTGATAGGCCAAAATCTTAGTTGTTTGTGATTTTATGAAATATACACCTCTGATGGGCCAAATTTATAGACAGGTTTCATTGTACTTTTGATATTAAAGTTTGGTAGAAAACACAAGGTTAAGAGGACCAATAGCTTATTCAAGTATCTTGAATTACATAAGATTAATCATGTTTACTTTATTCTAAGATACATGAAATGGGGATTGTCCTCTCATCTTGTTGTCAATCATGTTATAAGTAGTTGCGCAGTTAAAAAAAATGTGGCTGCTTAGGATTACCAATCTGCTGATAGATTTTATTGCAAATTTTAATACAGAAATGCTGTTTGTTGGCTTGAATTTCCGTTTACCTGCAGAATTTAAAACTATATAATTTTGTGGTGCATGTAATTAAGAAAATAAAAACTCAGAAAACATTGATGAATGTAAAAATTCAAGAGGTCATTTATGAGGGGAGACAGCTCATAAGATTTAGATTTATCATAGATTGTATATTTTGTACAATAAATTTATCGTCTCTATTTTATATTGCAAATGAGTATAGTGACAAAACTTTTCATTTAATATTTTTGAAATATTTGATAAAACCTGTCAGCTCGTTTCTTTTTATTTATTAAGTTTTTGTTGAGTTCATCAAATATTTTTCTAGCAAATAATGCATCTGTTAGTTCATGTTTTGTTATTGTCTATAAATTTGTGAATATAAAAGTTTTATTTTCTATATTATTATATTCCTCTTTGGGATTTGTCCATTTAGCAAATATGGTACTCCGAGCGAGAGAGAATAGTAAGCCATTCATAAATTCAACTAAAACAGTTCTCAAATGTTTTCACTAAGAGAAATAAACACCAAAGTTGTGATATTAGATGTAAAGAGCAATAAAATTGAGAATGGAAATGGGGAATGTGTCAAAGAGACAACAACCCGACCATAGAACAGACAACAGCAGAAGGTCACCAACAGGTCTTCAATGCAGCGAGAAATTCCCGCACCCGGAGGCGTCCTTCAGCTGGCCCCTAAACAAATATATATACTAGTTCAGTGATAATGAACGCCATACTAAACTCCAAATTGTACACAAGAAACTAAAATTAAAAATAATACAAGACTAACAAAGGCTAGAGGCTCCTGACTTGGGACAGGCGCAAAAATGCGGCGGGGTTAAACATGTTTATGAGATCTCAACCCTCCCCCTATACCTCTAGCCAATGTAGAAAAGTAAACGCATAACAATACGCACATTAAAATTCATGTATATTTTGATGGAATCACTCATAAGCTTGCTGTGTGAATCTTAATTATGTCAAATGCTGTTTTAAATAATATGTAATAATAGCATTTTGTTTGCAGTTAAGACGTCTTCTCTGTGATAGATAATGTGACAATTCCCCCCCCCCCCCCCCCCTTGTCTTCTATATGTTTGTTCTTTTGTATATTTTTGATGTCTCATTGACCTGACATTAAAATGAACCAAAATATGTAAGCAGAGTTTAGTTGTTTGTTTTGTATCACAATGTACAACAATGACATTCTGAAAAAAAAAAAAAAAAAAAAATAAATTTTAAAACATGAAGTTAGGGGTACAATTATAATAATATTCGTTTTTTGTACAACTGTGTGTGTCGCTTTATCACTTGCCGAGGTTTAAAGATCATCAAAATGTGGTGAAATAAAAAACCAAACACAAAATAGTGGTATGTTTAAAACTTTTTTCAAATTTTAGATTTACAGATATGTTTTAAATTTTTTAAACAGAAAACTCGATCAAATTCATCTTAAAGATTATTCATCTCAGTTGGATATATTGGGATTATACATATTATGTTCGAAAAGAAATAACAAATGAGTTTATATAAAAATACATATTATCTCCAGTCTGAGTTGTGTAGAAAAAGTGATAAAATGTATTTTCCTTTGTTAACAAGTTTATTTGTTAATGTTGTATATACAATGCTGGCTGTAATTTCATTCATCTGTTAAGTCCATTCATTTACAGTTATGTCACATAATGGACAGACTAAACAGACAAGCGTAATGAGCCAACTCAAGGGTAGTGGTGGATTAATGGGAGGATCTATGTACATTGTATCCCTGCCCCCTTTTTTGATTTAAAAATTAAAACATTTTTTAGCATAAAATTGTCCCCAAAAAATTTGCCTCCCTCCGCTTGGCAGTATATATTCTGTTTTCTGGAATTATGCCACCCTTTCAAAAATCCTTGTTCCCCTTGAAAGATACATGTTCTCATTACTGCACTTAAATTGATATGAATTGCAGATGCTTGTAAAGAAAATTTCTATAGATACATAATTAATGTAGGTGATGTGTTGAAAATAAATAGCAGAAAATCTTTGAAGGATGTCTATATTTAAATACATGTAGATCAGAATATCAAAACCTGTATAACCAAACTTAATTTATAAATATCATTACATCAAAATCTTCATCTACATACATTTGACGGTTTTAGTTGTGGTCAATACCACAATGTAGCCATTCTGAAAACCTTATTTAAGTTTTTATACCGTAATATATGATTATATTTCATTGACTTTGTTATTTGGTTTGAGAGAGATTTTGTTTTTATTTGTGTGAATAAAATATTTGTATATTTGAAGTGAACTTGATACCAGAATTATACAGATGTGGTAGGAACATGCTGATGTTGCACTTATTAAAGATTTGTTGTAGCTTTATTACATTAGTTGTTCTTATATTTTTGTTAATTGAATTATGAACACAAATTATTCGAAAACAAAGGGATATGGTCTGAATATACATGAGACATAATATTTGAAATAATATTATACCAATAGAATAGTATTTTAATTTGTTCTTTTTAATAACAGTTGAATAAGCAGAAAAAATTAGAGCAAATTGTTATACCAAGATTGCATAGTTCTGACTTCTTGTCTGACCATGTTGGAAATGAGAGGTCTTTTTTTTCTCTCCCTAGATTATGACATCACCAAATATGACTTTATCACCAAATATTATACTTGCCATGACATGAACAACACAATGGTTGCCACTAGTCTAGTAAAAACTCCTTACTTCTTTTGGAGCAACTGATTTCCCTTGATTTGTTGTAGGGTTGGTGTTGCTCAGTATTTAGTTTTCTGTGTAGTATTTGTAGACTTTTGTTTTTTGCTTTCTCCATTATTTTTTTGACCGTGTTGTCTGTTTTTCTTTCACCTGTCATTTGTGATTACCCTCTTGGTATGTTCTTCTCATTTTTGATTAAGTAGGACTACATAAGATCACTCTCCATATGCTCTTCTTGTGACTGCAGATTTTCTTTATTCCAGAAATATTCTTTATGGAATGCAGCCACACATGTTTGAAGTAGTAAATTGATTTACAACCTATGAAGTAAAATAAATTAAAAATGTTTAATATTTACTATTAACCTATATATAAAAATATTGGTTTTGGTGTTTAGAGTAGGCAGAGATGGTTAGATAATATATATACATGGAAACCTAATCCAATCTATCTTTGGTCAAAATATTACATTTTTCACTTTTTAGCTCACCTGGCCCGAAGGGCCAAGTGAGCTTTTCTCATCACTTGGCGTCCGTCGTCGTCCGTCGTCGTTAACTTTTTACATTTTGAACTTCTTCTAGAGAACCACTGAATGGAATGAAACCAAACATGGCATGAATGTTCCTTATGAGGTGCTGACCAAGTGTTGTTACTTTGAAGCCGATCCATCATCCAAGATGGGCGCCAGCGAGGGGGACTTAGTTTAACATAGGACCCTATGGGAAATACATACAAATGTCTTTTTCTAGAGAACAACTGAATGGAATGAAACCAAACATGGCATGAATGTTCCTTATGAGGTGCTGATCAAGTGTTGTTACTTTGAAGCCGATCCATCATCCAAGATGGCCGCCAGCGGGGGACTTAGTTTAACATAGGACCCTAAGGGAAATACATACAAATGTCTTCTTTTAGAGAACCACTGAATGGAATGAAACCAAACATGGCATGAATGTTCCTTATGAGGTGCTGACCAAGTGTTGTTACTTTGAAGCCGATCCATCATCCAAGATGGCCGTCAGCGGGGGACTTAGTTTAACATAGGACCCTATGGGAAATACATACAAATGTCTTCTTTTAGAGAACCAATGAATGGAATGAAACCAAACATGGCATGAATGTTCCTTATGAGGTGTTGACCAAGTGTTGTTACTATGAAGCCGATCCATAATCCAAGATGGCCGCCAGCAGGGGACTTAGTTTAACATTGGACCCTAAGGGAAATACATACAAATGTCTTCTTTTAGAGAACCACTGAATGGAATTAAACCAAACATGACATGAATGTTCCTTATGAGGTGCTGACCAAGTGTTGTTACTTTGAAGATGATCCATCATCCAAGATGGCCGCCAGCGGGGGACTTAGTTTAACATAGGACCCTATGGGAAATACATACAAATGTCTTCTTTTAGAGAACCACTGAATGGAATGAAACCAAACATGGCATGAATGTTCCTTATGAGGTGCTGACCAAGTGTTGTTACTTTGAAGCCGATCCATCATCCAAGATGGCCGCCAGCGAGGGGGACTTAGTTTAACATAGGACCCTATGGGAAATACATACAAATGTCTTTTTCTAGAGAACAACTGAATGGAATGAAACCAAACATGGCATGAATGTTCCTTATGAGGTGCTGATCAAGTGTTGTTACTTTGAAGCCGATCCATCATCCAAGATGGCCGCCAGCGGGGGACTTAGTTTAACATAGGACCCTAAGGGAAATACATACAAATGTCTTCTTTTAGAGAACCACTGAATGGAATGAAACCAAACATGGCATGAATGTTCCTTATGAGGTGCTGACCAAGTGTTGTTACTTTGAAGCCGATCCATCATCCAAGATGGCCGTCAGCGGGGGACTTAGTTTAACATAGGACCCTATTGGAAATACATACAAATGTCTTCTTTTAGAGAACCAATGAATGGAATGAAACCAAACATGGCATGAATGTTCCTTATGAGGTGTTGACCAAGTGTTGTTACTATGAAGCCGATCCATAATCCAAGATGGCCGCCAGCAGGGGACTTAGTTTAACATTGGACCCTAAGGGAAATACATACAAATGTCTTCTTTTAGAGAACCACTAAATGGAATGAAACCAAACATGGCATGAATATTTCTTATGAGGTGCTGACCGAGTGTTGTTACTTTGAAGCCGATCCATAATCCAAGATGGCCGCCAGCAGGGGACTTAGTTTAACATGGGACCCTATGAGAAATACATACAAATGTCTTCTTTTAGAGAACCACTGAATGGAATGAAACCAAACATGGCATGAATGTTCCTTATGAGGTGCTGACCGAGTGTTGTTACTTTGAAGCCGATCCATAATCCAAGATGGCCGCCAGCGGGGGACTTAGTTTAACATAGGACCCTATGGGAAATACATACAAATGTCTTCTTTTAGAGAACCACTGAATGGAATGAAACCAAACATGGCATGAATGTTCCTTATGAGGTGCTGACCAAGTGTTGTTACTTTGAAGCCGATCCATCATCCAAGATGGCCGCCAGCGAGGGGGACTTAGTTTAACGTAGGACCCTATGGGAAATACATACAAATGTCTTTTTCTAGAGAACAACTGAATGGAATGAAACCAAACATGGCATGAATGTTCCTTATGAGGTGCTGATCAAGTGTTGTTACTTTGAAGCCGATCCATCATCCAAGATGGCCGCCAGCGGGGGACTTAGTTTAACATAGGACCCTATGGGAAATACATACAAATGTCTTCTTTTAGAGAACCACTGAATGGAATGAAACCAAACATGGCATGAATGTTCCTTATGAGGTGCTGACCAAGTGTTGTTACTTTGAAGCCGATCCATCATCCAAGATGGCCGTCAGCGGGGGACTTAGTTTAACATAGGACCCTATTGGAAATACATACAAATGTCTTCTTTTAGAGAACCAATGAATGGAATGAAACCAAACATGGCATGAATGTTCCTTATGAGGTGTTGACCAAGTGTTGTTACTATGAAGCCGATCCATAATCCAAGATGGCCGCCAGCAGGGGACTTAGTTTAACATTGGACCCTACGGGAAATACATACAAATGTCTTCTTTTAGAGAACCACTAAATGGAATGAAACCAAACATGGCATGAATGTTTCTTATGAGGTGCTGACCGAGTGTTGTTACTTTGAAGCCGATCCATAATCCAAGATGGCCGCCAGCAGGGGACTTAGTTTAACATGGGACCCTATGAGAAATACATACAAATGTCTTCTTTTAGAGAACCACTGAATGGAATGAAACCAAACATGGCATGAATGTTCCTTATGAGGTGCTGACCGAGTGTTGTTACTTTGAAGCCGATCTATAATCCAAGATGGCCGCCAGCGGGGGACTTAGTTTAACATAGGACCCTATGGGAAATACATACAAATGTCTTCTTTTAGAGAACCACTGAATGGAATTAAACCAAACATGACATGAATGTTCCTTATGAGGTGCTGACCAAGTGTTGTTACTTTGAAGATGATCCAGCATCCAAGATGGCCGCCAGCGGGGGACTTAGTTTAACATAGGACCCTATGGGAAATACATACAAATGTCTTCTTTTAGAGAACCACTGAATGGAATTAAACCAAACATGGCATTCATGTTCCTTTTGAGGTGCTGACCAAGTGTTGTTACTTTGAAGCCGATCCATCATCCAAGATGGCCATCAGCGGGGGACTTAGTTTAACATAGGACCCTATGGGAAATACATACAAATTTCTTCTTTCAGAGAACCACTAAATGGAATGAAACCAAACATGGCATGAATGTTCCTTATGAGGTGTTGACCAAGTGTTGTTACTATGAAGCGGATCCATAATCCAAGATGGCCGCCAGCGGGGGACTTAGTTTAACATTGGATCCAATGGGAAATACATACAAATGTCTTCTTTTAGAGAACCACTAAATGGAATGAAACCAAACATGGCATGAATATTTCTTATGAGGTGCTGACCGAGTGTTGTTACTTTGAAGCCGATCCATAATCCAAGATAGCCGCCAGCAGGGGACTTAGTTTAACATGGGACCTTATGAGAAATACATACAAATGTTTTCTTTAAGAGAACCACTGAATGGAATGAAACCAAACATGGCATGAATGTTCCTTATGAGGTGCTGACTGAGTGTTGTTACTTTGAAGCCGATCCATTATCCAAGATGGCCGCCAGCGGGGGACTTAGTTTAACATGGGACCCTATGGGAAGTACATACAAACTTCTTCTTTTAGAGAACCACTGAATGGAATGAAACCAAACATGGCATTCATGTTCCTTATGAGGTGCTGACCAAGTGTGTTACTATGAAGCCGATCCATAATCCAAGATGGCCGCCAGCGGGGGACTTAGTTTAACATAGGACCCTATGGGAAATACATACAAATGTCTTCTTTTAGAGAACCACTGAATGGAATTAAACCAAACATGACATGAATGTTCCTTATGAGGTGCTGACCAAGTGTTGTTACTTTGAAGCTGATCCATCATTCAAGATGGCCGCCAGCGGGGGACTTAGTTTAACATAGGACCCTATGGGAAATACATACAAATGTCTTCTTTTAGAGAACCACTAAATGCAATGAAACCAAACAGTGCATGAATGTTCTTTATGAGGTGCTGACTAAGTTTTGTTACTATGAAGCC